GTTGTTTCGCCTGAGCACACAGCATGTCCATGTTGATTTGCATTCCTTGTTCAAGCGTTTGTCGGTTGGTAGCAGCAAAAATATGACAAAGCGAAAGGCTGCCGAGGCCGGCCTTCCATGGTACTCCATGGCAGGACAATGTTTTCGGATGACTGTTGAAATTCCACCCGACCGCATCACCAGAGACAAGCACATGTTCTTACACGTGGTACTTTGTCTGGGTGACAACGTTCTACAAGCTCGCAAGATCTTCTCCTACCGCATCAAGGAGATCACCGGCAGAACTCCTAAAATCCCAGCTTTCTTCTTCGAACAAAACCGTCGACGACTACATGATTGGGATTCAGTCACCACATTAGCCACGTTGAAGCCGGTGCTTTTTGTTAGAACCTGTTCGGATCAGGAAATACGACAATCACCCGATCGCTAGTGACAGCGAGAAAAGTGCGCCATTCACTCCTTTTGCCACGCATCAGACATTTCACTCTACTTGAAGCATGTACGCCCCATTGGGGCTGTGTGTGTGTGAACCTCCCTAGCACATGGGAGCAGAGGGTCACTCCTACACTGTTTGCAATTTTTGCTTTTCAACTTAATCAGACATTGGACATTTACCAAATCAACTGTTGCAGGGGAGTGTGGCATGGCTGTGGGACCACACTCAACGAAGCTGTGGATGCAAGTGGGAAGCGGGACCTGATCAGTCCTGTGTACCTGCACAAAATTGAGCTGGGGCCCCTGTGCCAGCCCGATTAGAAGGCCCCTGTGCCAAGATTAGAGAGTTTTCAGTTGCCACTTTTGGCGGTTGATTCGACAACAAACAAGTTGTACGGTTGCCACAATCTGACAAGCTTTTGCAACATGAACAACATGCCTCTCTTTTTCCTCTTGCACTCGTACTCTTGGCCGAATCCATCAGTGTGTCGACAATCGTTGCTCCACTCACGATGAACAAATTCGCCGTTGACAAACAAGCTCTTCCGCGTGCTGCGGGCAATGACGGAGCCAAGTGGATCGGGCGGCGACGCAAACAACGCAAACAATGCACGGCTGCTGAGGCTGTGGCCGATGATCATGGCCTGGGGCCTTGCGGCGTAACATCCTCCAGCCTCGCAGAAGTGTGCAAACTGTTGCATGGGCTGCCAGGTCTGCTTGACATTGTCGGCTCTCAGCAACCCAGAGAGCTCGACGAACTTCTGGGGCCTGGTGGGAAGCCTTGGCAGCCCGTAGAGCGTGAACACTCACATCGGCTTTTTTGCGCCAGGTCAAGATTCCGAACAGGCATGGCGTCGGCCCTCTAGACGAGCTTGAAACGTAGTTTGGTGCGAAGTGAACTTGTTTCGCAGGTGGTACCCCCTTGCATTGACGGGTCTTTTCATGCTCCTCAACGGCAAGATCATGTGGGCGTTGCTGGCTATTTGGACATCCCGGGGCCGGCGGGGCGAAGCGCTTTCACCGCCGTAGCCAGAACTTTCTGGTGGCCCTCGCCGTCGGCTACGGCTATCCGAAGCTGCGCCCGGAGCCTCGGAGCCTCGGAGCGCTCTCCGCCGAGCGCTCCGCCGCTGCAAGGCCTCGAGCGGCTGCTTCCCGGGAAGACCCGCGTGGATCGCCTGGAGCAGAAGTGCTGCAGAGGAGCGCAGCGGGGCGGCGCGCACGCTGCGCTCAGGGTGCAAGAAGCTCTTTGGCTCAGGAGGCCGCTGCCAGCTGCTCGGAACTTCTTGGGCAACTTGGACTTGGGCCGGTGTGTTGTCATGCTGGACAAGTAGGCAGAGGTACGTCCAGTCACAGCCTTTGTCTTGACACAGATCCCTGCTGCAACAACATCTTCGTACGATCTCGATGTGCAGATTGATCGGCGTGCTCGGCCTCAGTTGCTTGCAGCAGGGACGATTTGGAAGCTTCCGATGTGAGCTCCAACACGACAGACCCAGGCTATAGAAACTTCTCTGACTTCGGAAACACGGACTCCACGAACTCCACGTGCTGCCGGCCAGGTTTCCTTGAAACATTTCCACGGCTCTGCTTAGATACGTGGGCTGGCAGCGGCACGCAGGCTGCTAGAATTGTTGTTGTGAATACCGTAGAATGCATCTGCCAGGACAGCAACGAGCTCTGCTGCAGGACACAAGCCAGCTGCTGTTACAAAGCAGCTGTCGCATACCTCCAACAAGCACAGCCTCAATGTCGCTACATCGATGGGTCATGGCAACTATTGTTACTTTTGCAAGGCATGGGCCACACAGGGGACCCACCCACAAGAGCAGTAGGAATGTTTGTTGCAAGTGTGGAAACTGCTGGTCTGGCCGTAGGGTTCTCTCACTTGAATGGATTGCACTGTGGTGTTAGGGAAGGCTTTTGTCGCCGACCAGCTCCGGTCCCCGAAAGTATGTTTTTGGGTTAAAGATGGTGTTTTTGGACCGCAACCCGACCGCATTCTGTTCTTTGAAAATGTGTTGTTGGGGCTTAAACTGTTGTTTGAGAGCACGCAGCAACTGCATTTTTCTTCAAACTCGACGGGGGAAGAAACTGCTAAACCATAGGTGGCCGGATAGTACGAAAACGCCGCAAATACTGTGCAGAACGCAGGTGCTGCCAAGAAGGTTTTAGAACTCCTAGAACCTGAAGCGCAACATCTTATAAACATCAAAAACAAAGATGCCAGCTGCACGTGGAAGGGGCTCGCCAACACCGCTAAAGCCCAGGCTTGCTTTGGAAGCAGGTGTGGCTTGTGCACGCTAGGGTGTGGAGATATTGTTCGGGGTGTGCGCGAAACAATATCGTCTCACCCAAGTTCGAGTTTTTGCGGACAGCCCTCCGACATCTCATGGTCGAGTTCGCAAAGTCCAGAAGTAGGTTTGGTGACTATATAGGATGGTTCGACATCACGAAAGTGATGTAAACACCGAGTAAAACGGCTCTTCTGGAGATACTGTTCGGGGTGTTTGCGTAACAATGTCGTCATCATCGCCCCCCAACCCGATCCGAAATGTGTCCAATGCATCCATCATCATCGTCATCGTCATCATCAGCATCCTCATCATGTTCATCTTCCTCAAACATACGAACAAGGTGGGTCCGGCAAGGGGCACTGACGGCCTTTTGCATCGTGCATGCGTTTTGCTTTGCCTTTCTGCATGGTGCTCTCAAGCTGTCATTGCAAACCTGCAGCTCGAGGCCTTCGATACCCTGTGCACTTTGAAGGATGGCAGGCTGAGGTCAACATTATCAGGTCGAAACGAATTTCGTTTAATTGATATAGGTCGGTATAGGTTCACTTCGTACAATTGTGAGCAGTAAGATCGTAAGTTTTGTCAACGATCGAGACTTCAACCTGCTTCCGCGCATGGGCATGCCCCGACAGGAGGCCAGTTCGTGGCAGGGCTCTCAGCTATATGTGGTACCGCTCAACCATCTGGAAAGCGCTGCGGTTCCCAGGCCTTCGGAGGAAGTGGCAACCGTCTTGGCGAGGCTCCGGCTACAGAGATGGAGGCTGGGATCTGAGGGGCTGAGGAGGAATCACAGGCACAGAGGCACAGGCTGTCCGAGTCTGGGGACAGGCGCGTCCAGCAACTGAGCCCTCCGGCCAGCCGTGAGGTCAACGGTTCATTGCTCGAGATGCCCGTTTCTATTTCCAGGGCACCCTATCTTTGCGTGGCCTGGGGTGTTGGGGGCTGCGGGAGCTTGCGGCATATGGCAGACAAAGCATGGAGGTTCTGGATGGGTTCCCCCCAAGATCGCCAGCGAGGACTGAAATTGGTGTTTAGCAAACTCGAGTGCGCACTGAGGGTGTGCGAAGGCCCTAGTTGCCGCAGGCCTAGACTACTGATCTCAGCATGAGGACGAAGTCCCGAAATTTTCGTTGTGTGACGGACTGCACCCTTTCCGAGGGCGGTCCGTTGTTCGATTCGACAAAAGATCAGCATCTGAGAACTGCTTGCATGTTGACGGTTTGGTTGAACTTGGGCATGCATCTGCATGAAGCCTTTCTGGATTCAAGCGGTGGAGCGGGGCTTCCAACGTGAGCCCTGATGTGCAGCACCTTCGGATGGCAAGCAGCTGTCGCAGTCGCAAGACAGAGAGTAAGACTTGTGCACCAAAGCAGTTTTGGCAGCGACAGCCCAGGCAAAGAGAGCTTGCAGCTGTGACAAACTGCAGGCACTTGGTTTTGATGCGTACACTTTTCGCGAGTTGTCGCATGGGATTCAGTATGAAGGCCGCCTTGTCTTGAGAGGTGCAGACTATGGCAGAGGACTGGAGATGTTCTTGCCTTGCTGGCTCCTAATGTTCACTTAATGTTTAGAATCTCCTTCCCCAGCCCCCTCTCATGAGGATAATGGGAGTCGTCAGTCGCAACTCCATGAGGATTTCTCAATATCAGGTCAGAGTCAGGTCACCGGCCTCCTGTTTTGGTGTTTGACAGCCTCAACGCTTGCAAAGTTTGCAGGATCGTTCGATTCAGCAAATGCAGTCGACGGCCACCAAGCACGCTGGCCCAGTTGGAGTTGCTGCTGGACTTGGCAATGAAGCGAACACTTGGCATCCGCCCCACTTGAAAGGCTTATGCAGAGCTCACCTGGGTTTGCAGAAAAGCTGGCCAGCTCCGCCATGAGCACGGGCCTCCCGAGGTCGTACGCACATGTCCGTTCATGCCTGAAGTAGCCGTCTCACTAGGTCTCCGTTGTGTGAATGCTCGTAATCTCAACGTCATCCACGATCCGCGGCGCTTCTTCGCACAGGGTGGGCTCAGGGAAGGGCGACGATCGAGACAGCATGATCGCCGTGCTCCTGCCGCATTCTCGCATGCAATGCTTGCGCGTGAGCTTGGGTCTGCCATTGTTGGTAGCATGTTTGCCGGCCACATGCATACTAGTCCATAGCCATGATGTTTGCGCGACACAAAGGGTCCTTTGCGCGCTTCAGCCTTTTTGGCACAAATCGATGGTGGCTGAGCTGTGGAGCCTCGAGCTGTGACGCCCATCCTCACAGCTTGACAGCCAGCCATGGGAGCAGACGCCAGCGCGCTCAAGAACCAGGTGGAGGCAGAACGTGAGCTGGAAAGTGACTGGCTTGAATTGGTAAGAGAACTACACACGAGGTGAACAATCAGTGACATACGCAAAAGCTTTTCGTGCTTGAATTCGAGGATCGCAGCATGCCAGCCAAGCGGAGATTCTGAAACAGTTTGATCAGAGGACTCATAGTCTCTAGCGCCTGCCGTGAATTGCAAGCAGCATCGCAACGCAACAGGTTTGTTTGCTTTAGTCTTCGGCACCGTTCACAGGACAAAGGTTCCTCACTTATTGATCGAGCTTCGAAATGTGGGCTACATTGAGACCAGCGCTCAGACGTGGTGGAAGACCTCTCCTTGGAGAAACGTAGAGATCGCGGCAGCATGCACGTGCCGCCGAGGATTTGTGGCAAGAACATAGGTGGTATCTATGCTAAGCCCTCAGCACTTCTCGTGCTCATGTGTGCGCTTGGATTCGATGGTGCGACGGCAAGGATAAACTTGACAGCTTCTTCAAGACATACTTTGGTGCAACAGAGACCACGTTGGTGATGCGCAGAGTGGTAGATGCCACCTGGCTCAGACCGGCCTGCACGAGACTCCTGCACATGCCTTTCGGAGTTCGCAAAACTTGCGAGGGAACATCTCTCCGTGAAACAGAACACCTCCCGAGTCCGCAAAAAGCTTCGAACGCTGCGCGGCGATGCTGTTGAAGCTGCTTTAAGGAGAACAAGTGCTGTGCTGGAATGAATGATTGGCCTCAGCTGGCAATGGCACCCAAAGAGCCTTGTGACGAAGTTTGTGATAAGACGCTTGGATTGTTTGGGCTTGATCTTCTCCACCTGCGGAGCTCCATCGGATCACAAGTCTCGATAAGGAATTATGTGTGCGGCACTCAGAATTCTGATGGTTCGGTGAACGGCAATGGCAAATTCAAAAGCCGCGGCAACGAGGGAGAAAACAATATGGGCTCCTTGGCTTGGACTGGATTTGTAGGTGAGGTAGGTGAAGGCAGCCTGTGTTGAAACAGCGGTTGCTAAGCCAGGAGGGTGCAGTCCTCATGTGCAGGGTGCCAGAGACTGCCAAACTAAGAAGGATGGGATGCCAGAAGGGTTGACGACAGATTTGAAGTCACTTCAGGCAAAAACCAGCCAAGCAGCTAAGCAGCTAGTCATCCTTTGTCTCTGTCCAAATGCCATCAACTGCGGGGGTCATGTCGCCGATCTGAGGAAAGCTGGCTATGGAGGCCAGGCTGTCTGCACTTCCTGTGCTTTTGCTGTTGCAGGCTTGCATTATGCAGAGCATTTGTCACACGCTGTGTGAGGTCATCAACTTTATGACCAACGAGTGTGGATGGGGCTTGCACTTGACAGATGGCGGAAATCTGGGGTACTGCGGCCAGATGCGTGAGACGCAGATCAAGTTTAAGGCTCCCCATCCCCTGTAACTCGTCTGTGGAAAAGGGCAGCTTCCTGAGTAGCGGTCTGTATCCCTGTCTGGCATTGACGTTATAACTTGTCCGGCTTGCCTCCTAGGAATTTGATGGCGCCCCACATCATGATCGAGTTGAGGCGGCTTTGCAATGAGCAGCTGCAGTCGGAGAGTCCTGCCACAGCCACGGCAGCATGAAGACTTTTGACCAAGCCCTGTTCAGGTCTGTCGGGTACATAGAAGTGAACGGACATGATACGGATGGGATTTACGGGAAGATCGAGGACTCGCTGTGTTCTGTGAGAGTGATGCATTGAGCCAAACCTCCCTTTGTGCGGAAGAGCATCGTGACGTGGACACGTGCCAAACGCCCCTGCGTTTTGCAGCTGCACAGGACTTCGTCAGACAGAAATGGGGTGGTTCAAGATACGGTGCTGCCGACAAAGACTACTGTGACCTCAAATTCTCCACCAGCGCATTCAAAAAGAGAGGGACGCAGGGGGAGAACAACATGGGTATGAAGACGATGGAGCTTGTCGACTTCATGACCAAGGAGTGTGCGTGGACACTGCTGACATGCACGGGTGGGAACTATGGGTTGACAGGGAGTATGCGAGAGCAGCAGATGGTTTTCCGAAACGCTGCCTGCCTGAATATGTGGGACGATTCGATAGGCCAACCCCGCTGCATGTTTAGGTGATTAATGCCCAGACTGTCTAGAGTCTGGAGTCAAGAAGAGAGCGCGATGCTTCGAAGCTTCAAGGACGCCTTCGTGCAGCACGGCGAGCAGCATATCATGGTCGAGCTGCGAGATCAGGGCTACGTGGAAATCAACGGCTTGCACGATGCACCGGAGGCAGCCCAGCAGCTGGAGCAATTCTATCAGAGCCAGGGCTGCAAGGCTGGGGCGCTGTCTCTGTGCCCGGAAGGTGCGAGTTTCAGGGCTTTCGAGGTCAGTTTCGCTGCTGAGTGTCGGGGCAGTTTCAGATCAGGACCTTGTCAGTTTCAGCCCAGACCTTGACACTTGGTCGTTGTGCTGCTGCATGATGCCATCGGGCCCGAGCTTTCTGGGAGGTTCAGAAGATAAAGCAATACAGGCCACACATAGCTGGAAGGATCCTCTTCCTGTTTTTCGCCCCGCAACCCCCACAACAATAGCGAGTGTTCATCCGCCCGATATGAATCATGTAGTGGCCCGACAAGTCAATGGTACTCACTTGCGATTCGGGGTTGAGGGTTGAGGGTTCAGGATGTGGGGCTGCGGGTTGAGATACAAGGGTTTAGGATTGAAGATTAGGGTTTAGTCTGGTCTAGTCGTAATAGCTTCAGTAACCTCTAGGTGGAAAAGGTTTGTATACCAGCACCCCGAGTACTCGGGGTGCTATAGTAGTACGAGCAGTACTAGCAGTACTAGTTGTACAGGTAGCAAACTCAGTTCTCGTTGCAGTTAGTTATTAGCAACCATGGTAGCACGGGTACCACCAGTAGAAGTACTAATAGTCTTACTCCAATGGTACTAGTGAACTCCCTTCCTGCGCGCCGAAACTGACCACACGTGCCCACCACACGCCCCGAAACTGACCCCTGCCGCTCCAAAACTGGATGCCGAAACCCAACCCCCCGATCTAAACGTCAGGATGTTTAAGCACTTGTCAGGGCGGTTTCCCTCCGCAAGCACTGGGATTAAGAAGAAGAAGAAGATGCACACTCCCGGTAGCCGATCCGAAACTAGAACCCCGAAACTATGGGTACCCAACCGCCGGTGTCCGCCGTTTGTGTTTGCTTGATGGTGTAGCTACAACAGATTTGTCACCCACCTGGAACCGGAAAAGTCGTACGTAGTTCCTGGCCTTTCACCGGTGGGCATGAAAACGGTGGTTCTTGCACGATGTCCATGTCTAGGGGCTGAAGACGATCCTCAATCATTCGTGCAGGTGTACCAGCCTGGGTTCTGGGAGTCCTCTGAGAAGCCACTTGTCTGCAGACGTAGTCGCGTCACGGTCTTGCAGATGTTCGGGCCCTTATGCTGGCAACCTGCCAAGGTACTGCGATGTGAAGTATCAAACTCCTCCGGGTTGGTTTTATCGCCAGGGAACTACAAACAATCTGGGTCCCTCAGCTGACATTCAATTGGATGCAGGGATGCTGCATCAGAAGTTTTGCAAGACGAGGCAAACGTACCATTGAAGTTGCAAGCTATCTGGGGCAGATGGGATGGATGCTGCTGCTCTGCAATGGTGGTAACATTCATGCAGGCAGGGTCAACTGTGGTCTCAAGACTGGCCGGGGTGTGCGTGTGGATGAAATTTGAATAATCTGAAGCCTCGGCCAGGCAACAACAATTCAGGCATCATGCGCGAGCAGCAAGTGAAATTCACAAAGGCTCGACCAAACGACAACCCTGCAGCCCCGCTCCTGATGATCGAGCTGCGAACGATACCGACGACCATGCACGGCCAGTATTCAGGGTTTATCGAAATAAATGGCCAGAACACAAATGGCGTGTACCAGCAGGCCGGAATGTACCGCTGCCGGAAAGCTTGCATACACGTTTGTGAAAGTCCAGTGTGCAACTGCAGCATGTTAGTGTGCAAGAGGTCATCCAATACATGCAGCAAACAATGCTGTGCACGCCGCTGGGTCCACAGCCGTACTGTGACTGTGCGGCAAATGGTCTTCTTCCCGCATCTTCATGAACACATGAAGCGTAAGCTTGCCCTATCGGTTCGTGATCGAGCCTGCGTGAAGGCGACTTGCTTCTTCAATGCAACTGCTTCCGTCTCAGCCGCTTTGCTATTAGCTTGGAAGACTGTCTCAAATTGGCGATGTTCCCATGCGCGTCGTCGTGGTGAAAGCTTTGCTTTGGTTTGCGTCCTTCCAGAGATTCGAGGAGAGGCCAGTACAATGAGTACGATGTGGCACGCACGCGATGGACGCCTGAACGGCGAGAGCAACTTTGGAAGGCCCATGCTTGTGTTACACGGCTGTGTCAGATTCTTTCCCCGAGCGGCGCAAGCCACAAGGTACACCATGAGGCTGTGTGATTTCATGGTCGATCACCTGGGTGAGTGGGACCTGATCGTGTGCAATGGCAACAGCGTGGATACCCTCTTCCGCTATGGAAAGGACCCGCTCCAGCAATGAGCCTAGAGGGCCTCGGGCCTTTCGGCCATTGCAAGGACGTTTCGCCACGACGGTGTCACCTAATGCTCTGCAGGACAGCAAAATGAGTGTCACTGGTCGCGAGCAGCAGCTCATCTTCAGACATCGGCCCGGCAGCTTGGAGCATATGTGTGGGATCGGAAGTCCTGTGCTCCGCCGAAGATCGTCCAAAAAAGCTCAGGTGGGCGAAACGTGTTCATGGCTCAGGATGTGAACGTGGCGAAGCTGGGTCGCGCCCCTCTGCTGCCACCGAATTATTGGAAGGAGAGCACCAGGCCCGAGGGCCTTTTGAAGGGCCAGCGTTGCTTCTCTCTGCCTCTCTCTCTCTCTATATATATATATATAATCTGTATATATATATATATATATATACATACATACACATATATATATATATATGTATATATATATATATATACACATAGATAGAGTATCGCTGCTTCTGCTTGGTTGCAGTGCCAGGACAGGATCGGTTGGCCAGGAAATCGTCCCCGCCACGGCTGAGGAGGTCTCGTGGATTCAGGAGGTCCTGGACGGCACCTACAAGAAGAAGTCCACGCGAGACCGTTCGGGTGGTCCATTAGCAGATCGCTTTGTCGTGGTTTCGGCCTTGAGATCGGAGCATCCAGGCCAGGCGGTCAGAAATCACTCAAGAGTAGAAGACCCTGCAAGCTTTGCTAATCTTGGCACATGTGACAGGCTTGTGGGACAAGTTTGCGGAAAAAAGGAACCGGGCGACTTGTACGGAATTTTAACGCTACGCCGCCCGCCTCGGCTGTGTAGCGGCAGGGTGAGGGGGAGGGGGGGGGGGGGGGGGGGGATGGGTGTGGAGGGGAGTGGGGGGGGGTTCCTTAACCTCTAAAGGGGTAGCTCTAACAGGTACCTACAGCAATGGCTGCATGCTCATACATATACATTCCGCGGCCCATTGGCTCACAGTGGTTTTACCATATTGAGACAAGACAAGCTCTCCTTGCGTAGCAAGACAAAACAACTACTGTCCGTGTGCAGGGCGCTGCCCTTTGATCCTTAGGGAATAAACTGGTCATACACCTCCTAACAAGGAGCATTTCCTTGTGGGTGTATCGGCTCAGTTTTCTGGTAGCTGAGCCCGGAAAGGGCCGCCCGCCTCCCAAAGTCCGCTACAGCGGTCGGCCTCGCCGAACGCTTAACCAAGCGGATAAGAGGCAGCACAATGTCGAGCTCTCATAGCGAAGCCGACGACAGTTCCCAATCCTCCGGGGGATATGAGAACGAAGAGACCTCCCAAGGTCCAGCCACTTATGTCGCACAGTCATATGCAACATCTGAACGCATGCTTGCATCATTAGGCATAACGCCCAAGATCGCGCCTGCCTATGATGGCACCACCTCGTGGTTTGAGTATGAACAGTTGATTGACGACTGGTGCGACATAACAACGCTGGATGACACCAAAAGAGGTCCGTCTCTCAAGACGCGGCTCTCCGGATTGGCCGCAGTACAAAAGGAATCACTGAACCGAGAAAGGCTTGCAGCCCCAGATGGAGTAGATTACTTCAAGAAGAAGATGCGTCCATTTTTCGTGAAAGGAGAACAGTACGTTTTCCTGTGGCGTTTCCTCGGCCTATTCAAGGCATGGAAGGGCAACCAAGACTTTGTGACTTGGATTGCCAAGTTTGAGATCGTGCTACATCGCGTGAAAAACTCATGGATGGATCTCTTACCAGAGATAGCTCTGGAGGATGCCCATCCAGATTTCATGCAAGCTGTGCAGGCAGACCAAACCTTCTTGCGCCTACAGGATGCAACCGAGAGAGACACATACGCCGCACGTTTCTTCGAAACATGGAACAAGGAACGCCTTGATAATCATCGAAGAGCGTTTCCTCTAAATGATAATCTCCTAGCTCTCCTCTTCCTAGTGCAGTCCGACCTAAATGAGATGCAACGTGAGCGGTTGGTAACAGCATTGACCAACCAAGGTCACCGAATTGAGACCTACACGTACCCTGTGGTACGGCAGACCATGTTCGATCAGTTCTCAACGACCAGAACTGGTCTGCAGGATCCCAACATTCGCCACTCTTCTCACAAGAAGGACCGCCATGGAAGGAGAGACCAACGCCGCAAACGCGGAGGTCGAAACTTCCTCATCCTCGATCAGGGTGAATACGATGGAGTCGATGGATTCTGGCTCCAAGACGAAGACACCCTTGAGGAAGGCTTTCTTGCCGCCGAGTATGAAGAAGCTGTCTTCTGGACAGTTGATGACCATGAGGCCTTCGTTGCAAGGAGATTCAAAAAGGGAAGAAGACCAAGAATGCGTCCCGGATCACCGGGAAGAGCAAAGGGTGGCAAGCGAAAAGGACGTGGCCGTTTTAGGTCATACCGCGGAAAAGGGAGATCCAACCAGGCAGAACATGATCCAACTGATTCCAGCTATTTCGGTAAAGGTAAGGGAAGGAAAAAAGGCAAATGTGGGAATAGGCAAAGAAAAGGAAGGACAAATTAGATTTCAGGAGCTCTATCAAAGGTGCAAAGTCAAAGACAAAGTAAGGATACAGCTAAGTCTGCCTCCTTACAAGGAGACCAAACTGATCTCCACAGCCTGTGAAAGTTTCCACCGCACGAGCTGGGATTTCATGGTAAATGCGAACAGTTATTATCCTGACGCCATTTGGAATTATATGCCGCTTATGACGATCAAACGTCTTATACATACTATGCATCACAAGCCTCACGAAGAAAAACACGGAGAAAGAAGAGAAGAAATCAAGCAGGATCATCAGGTAGAGGCACAGATCCGAGCGCGCACCAAGAACCCGTGTTCAACTCATCAGTGATTTACGTGCCCCAGGTCTTTGAACCATCCGAGGGGCAAGGTGTTGAAACTGCAACAGCGGTGTTTCCGTTGCAGCACACCGTCCTATCTGCTCTCACAGAGCGGATCAATCTTGATAAGCGCCCTACCTTTGTCATACTTGACTCAGGTTGTACTAGGGCTATGGGTTCCCGCTATGCGGTGAATAGGCTTATCAAGGCCGTGAAGCAACGTGCCCCAGGCATGATTGATTTCACTTTCTCACCTTCGCACACGAAGTTCTCTTTCGCAGATAGTGAAACAGCTCTTATCAAGGAGCGTGTAACTCTATGGTTCAACACAACTCCAAGAAGAGATACAACCATAGAAGTTCTGGACCAAGGGAGAGTTCCCATTTTGTTCTCCATTGAACAGATGAGGAATCTAAGAATGACCCTTGAGTGTAGTCCCACAGCTGACCTAGCAACGTGTGAAGCTTTCGGTTTGTACAAAACCCCCCTTCCGATTAGTACCAATAACCATCTGGTATTGGACCTTCTAGGCTTCACTTCCACCAGGAAGTATCTCCCTAAGTCAGGTACGTCGTTCAGTGAGACGGAGACTGCTCTAGGAGCTAAGAAGCCAAAGGAAGAAAGAAGATCTTATACTAAGATCCCGGAAGGTCGCTGTCCAGCCTGCGCAGGACAGAAAAGGGCTCATACGTACCTCAAAGGTTGCGACAAGGCACCTGAGGGAGCAGCTGATCCACCACCGAAGGGCATTGCAGGTAAGAAGAAGCCTCTTCCATCTGATCCGGCAGAATCATCTGCCAAGAAACCCGATCCACCAGAACTATCTGGTGATGCTCCTGAGCCTTCCGAACCGCCGGAACCATCATCAGGCTCTAGAGACAAACCGGCAGAATCATCTGCACCGTACGAACCTCCAGAAGAAGAAAGACTTGAGGTTCCACCTGCGAAGACAAAGACTCCAAAGGGTCTTAAAAACCTTCTGAAGAAAACCCGCAAATATGCGGTTAAACCTCCTGTTGAAGAGAAGTCTATGGTCCCAGGAGCTGATGACGGGACGGAGGTAAGACCACTTGAGTCAATAGAATACCCGGCTCCTGGTACAGACTCACCTACAGGTGAAGAGATTGTCGCGGAACCATCGCCATCTCTTCCCATTGCTCTTCGCAGGATTCATGAGAAGCTTAATGACCCTGTAGAACTCTATAAGCTTCACCTTAAGCACCGTCATATGAGTACGGATCAGTTCAAGCGACGCACAAAAGCCTTACAGATCCCAAAGGAGATGTACGAGCTATATGACCAACTGGTCAAAAAGTGTTCAGCCTGCCAGGAACATGTGAGAGCTCCTTCAAGAGCGAAGATTTCTGGTTTAAGATCAGAGACTTTCGGTGATCTCACCTTCGTAGATCACGGTGAGCTTCCAATTCCCGGCAAGGATAGTCGCTTAGTATTCCTTATTCTCTATGATGGAGCAACAAACTTGTTGACTGCCGAAGTAGTCCAGGACAAAGAAGAACATACTACAATGTCGATTATGAATGACTACTTTGAGAAATTTCAGATCAACCCAACGGTTGTAGTTGGAGATCAAGCATTCATGACTCCAAAAATGGAGGCTTATTACAATCGGCAGAATATCAAGCCTGTAGCAACAGGACCTGGAACACCATGGCCCAACAGGGCCGAAGCTCTGTAAGTTGCTGAAGCATCAGATTAAGCTCATACTTCAGATCCTGAAGGACGGTGACCCGCAGTATAACGAAATCACCATGAAGTATGGCAATCTCGTTCGCCAAGCATGTTTGGCAAGAAACTCTTCGATTGCCTACGGAGGAGTTACTCCTTTAGAAATGGCCTTTGGAAGGCGTCCTCGAGATGTTATAACACCAGAGAACGCTGATCCCAATCAGTTGACAGGTAATCCAACTGATACGGAAGTCACTGCGAGAGCCATTAAGGAGCTTGCCAACAGGGCTTAGCAAGAGGCACGCCAATCTGATGATCTGCGCAGAGATCTTGCGGCCAGACTGTCAATGACCGAAGGACCTTTCTCTCTGGGAGACAAGGTTTTCTACTGGTCAGAGGATAAGTCTAAAATTGGATCAACTGGGTCCAAACATGGATCTTGGCTAAAAGGAAAGGTGATCTCCGAACTCGGAGGATCCATGGTAGGTGTGGATCTTGGAACACGCATCGTCCGCGTTAATATCTCAAAACTGAGGAAAAATTATGACATAACATCTGATGTTGAGATTCCTCTCGCGCCTGATGAGGAAACTCTGACGTCAGAAGGTTCTGATCACGCAAGTTGCATGGTCACCTTTGATGCTTCCCTGCAGTCGACAGACCTAACGGTTCCGCATCAAGAGTGTCACTGGCAGGTCACCAGCACTGGGAAGATTGACTTCCTCGAACTCTACGGTGGATCTCCCCGTATGAGTCACAAGGCTGCCCTGTCAGGTCTGCGAGTAGGTCAGCCAGTCGACTTGCGTAGTGGTCTAGATCTTGAGCAACCGCAAGGTCGCTCCAATCTTCTTAGGATCATCAAGGAACAAGAACCTACTATTATTGTTATGTCACCCGATCACTCTCATTGGTCTAGCTGGTACTCACAGTGGAAGAAAGGCTCTGCCAAGAGACTTTCTGTTTTAAAATTCTGTGAATCGGTCGCAGACCACCAAATGAAGCTCGGACGTTACTTTGTGCTTGAGAACCCATACTACAGCAGGCTCTGGTCTTCACCAGAAGCAAAACGCCTGTTTTCCAACCGCAAGATCAGCTATGAGGTCTGTAACCTACAAGCTTATGGCATGAAAGATCCAAAAGGATACTATGAATCGAAATCCTCGATTTTCATGCACAACCTGCCACCGCAGGTTCTAACTCCTCTCCAGAGGCATTCTGCAAAAACGAAATCTCC